ACCCCTACGACGAGCACGCCTCTTTCGAGAACGACCGTCGCGATGTCCAGCGTCCATCCACAGCGGGGGTTCATCGTCCGAACCGTCTCCAACATCATCCATGCCCTTGTCGCAGCCGTTGGCAGGCTCGACAAGTCCCTGTCTCCCGCTGTCACCATCCAACGACTGCGCGCGCACAAGTTTACCGTCGGCGACTCCATTTACCTCTTCCACATCGCGCTGGCGGCCTTTTGGACAACCTTGATGCAAGATCCTGCATATCCGTATAAACTGGCCATACCCATTCTGTACACCATTGCCCTTTGCAAGCCAGTAGTCCACCCTTCCCATCGTCTCCCTTCCCGCAACACCTCACTTCCCTCCATCCGCATCTGTCCCAACGTCCTCCCACCTCCTTCCTCGCAAGCTGAAACGAAACACAGTACTGCTCCTGATACCAAAAGTTGCCTGGATCAAGCAATTTATATTATTGCTCCCTTGTAGTTTCCAGAACACCAAACCCATGTTTTTGACGCCGAGGTGGGCTCCAAATTTAAATAAGACATAGAAAGGGTGTGGTATATGCCATTCCGGTTGTTTCAAGGACAGCGATAACATGTTGCACAAGGTTCCACCTATGATTTCTTCCCGACGACCCAAAGGCTTCCACATCCGTCGCACACCCGGCCTCAACTCTTTGAGTTCAGGACGAACGACGAACAAGTAATACATGGTCTGTACGGTCTGGAAGACGATTCACGTTTGAAGCGCAATTGCAGGCCTTGCATACCTGGTTGGACATATTTGGGACGCTCTTGATAGTATACAAGCGCTTCTTTTTTTGAACATTATCTGTCAGAAAGGACGATATCACCATTGCTCGTGCTCGCCGGTTGAGCGAGCGGAGAGCCGATACTGGGCAGAGATCAGAATAACGTAGGATTTCACTGAACAGTTCCAGAGGTAATGGTCCAAGGCCGCCAAGGGTTGCGCAGGTAGTATGAAGGTCTGTAAGTTACTGGCGGCCCTCCATTAGTATGTCTGTTAAATTTGTTAGGAATGGACACCACGTATGGTACATGAACAAACCAAAGGATCTCAAGAGGGTTGGCATTGCCGAAGAACGATGGAGGCTGTAGAGCGTTCATTTGAATCCAGTCCGATTGAGAGTGGTTTGACCGATCGGGCAATTGGACCTACGTACTTCTTCATCCCGAATGGAATAGACCGGGCCGCTACCGTTCTTCACCGCCCGCCTAGCTCAATCGGATAGAGCGTCAGACTCTTACCTTTATAGGCGGTATTCCCTACGGAATCTGAAGGCTGCGAGTTCGACCCTCGCGGTGGGCTACTTGAATGTATTTTTATTGTACCTGCTGCTTTTTTTATTTACCTGATACACAAGTAAGTCTTTCGAAGCAATAGAATGTGGTACATAGTCAGGGACACATTAAACTCAAAAAGCCCCTCCATATGGAGCGTCCTTTACAGCTTTTTACTTTCTTTGTGGACGAGAATCCACATTTCTGGAAGTACATCATAATTCACAAAGCCTACATTAAATTACAACATCTATAGTCTACCGAACATCTAGATTCAAGCATCAAATACATTGCACTACATACCAGGGAATACTAAATCAATCTGTTAAATCTCTAAGCGCACCGCGCCAGCGGATATCAAAATTAAAAAATGAGAAGTTCCAACCGCAAGGAAAGATAAATAGTAAAGTAAATCCCGAATAACAAATCAGGAACAAAAACGCAAACGATGGGCAGGAGAACATGTCATTGGGAGGTTCAGAAGAACTCACTAGCAGCCTGCCCAACTTGGACGTGTTCCCGTATCCACTCAAACGACTCCACGTTGCGCCCGAAATGAGAATCAACGTAGAGCGTCGAGAGAGGCACGCCCATGTTTTTCCGCGCAATGATGGTGCGATGGATGAGGGGCGTGCCCACGTTTCTGTCGTTGCGGATCGAGAGCGTCCGAAGGTTGGGCAAAGGCGTAGGTATGTCATCGTGAGTTATTTCACTGACAAGGCCTGCACTGGGAGAAGGAAGGAGCTGCTGGATAAAGGCATTAGAGCTTACACCGTCCAACGACAGTTGGGAGAGGCGTGGAAAGGCGTCGACGATGTTGGTGTAGAATGGGTCGTGGGGATTAGTAGGTATGATATCCGAGATATTGGTTAATGTCAGGGAAGCGAGTGCGGGGTATTCAGCGGTATGTTGGCGGAAGGCATCGGTGATGTTCTTCCACTGTGGGAGATCCAATGTCTTCAAGTGAAGAGATTTGAGAGACGGCAGAGAAAAGAGGCGAATGAACTGGATAGCGTCGTTATTCGGCGGCATGCGACCCCCATTGCTGAACTCAATGGCGAGGGTTTCGAGTGAAGGGATATTAAAGCGTGAGATCAAGGACAAATCCTGAGACGTTTGGTCGCGGCTTCCGAAGATCCGGAAGAGGGCCTCAGTAGCGCGATGTTCGTAGATCAGCAGGTGTCGAAGATGGTTCAAAGATGTAAAGACATCCCTCGTAATGTCATGGCGGGGCCAGTAAACTTTGTGTATTTCTAGCGTTGAAACCGTTGCAACAGAAAGTGCACGAGTTGCGAATTGAAGGTTGGCTGAGCGGAGGAGCAAACGATAGGGAAGGGTCGCATGCAGAGGCGACGGCTGTGTAGACCCAATGATGGGGGACGCGGGGTTCGATGTAATCTTCGAATGGTGAAGGATTGTTCGGCCAGGTGCTTCTGTGAGTGAGCCCGTGCTCTCGCGCACGAACAAGTCCTCGAGTTTGGGGCAGGCAAAGAGGCGAATGAGGGCGGAAATCCCGGACGTGAGCCACTCGGATGTGTAGACTTCGATGGTACGTAGCTCGGGAAGGAGAATTTGGAGATCATGAATGCCCTCGGACACTCCGTCAAAAATTTGCTGCATCGCAATTTTCGGCTTCACATGAAGGACTAACCGTTGCAGTGACGACCCATTCAGCGTCTCCTTGAGCTTGGAAAAGGTTGGCCAGGTTCCATAACCCCGTATTTCGAGAGTACTCAGTCCCTGAAATGCGAAATCGAGACCATCGACGTCGATATTTCGAAGGTAAACAGATGAGAGGAGAGGCAGGTAACCCTGGAAAATAGCTGGCGGGAGGGCGGTCCTTTGGTGATGGGAGTAAAATGAAATATTTAGGTGCTCAAGACGTGGCGCGGGAGTATCCTGGAGGAAGGACAAGATGTGGTCATTTATGGCAACTATCGAGAGTCGGCGCCATCGAGTGCTGTGGGTTCGCAGTTTGTCCATGACAGACTCTGTTAAATCGGTGTTCCAAAAGGCCCTCAGCTGGATTTCCAACGGATATTCCTTCGATCTCGCAAGACAAGTTGGTAATTGGGCCAACTCGCGAGAGATATTGCCCGGGGAGAGGTGAATGACACTCCATAACGATGGCGTGTGTAAAACTAGCTGCCGAAATCGTTGCGAGATTTGCAATGCCAATGAACGAAATGCAGTATCGGGCTCCCTTTCTCCTTCGAATTGGAAGTAACCGGATTCGAAAATGAGCGACAGGATTTCGTTTGGAAGACGGTCCACGTATGATTCGGAACCGTTACGGTGGTCGTCTGATTCATGGTGCTGGCCCTCGTTAAGCTTCCTGGCGACTATTTCGTCGAATCGCGACACACTGTCATCCTGATGATGTGAATCTACGAAGTAATGGTTTACACTTGGAAAAGGCATCATTACTGGCTTTATAGATAAGTACACGTGGAATGCTCACCGAGAAGCTGTGGGTGTATTGAGGGCATTGGAAAGAGCGAATGGGGTTCTAAGGGGACTTGAAAGGTCCTTCATCGGGTAACAATGTAGAGGAGGATGGAGGTCGTTGGTTAAGAATTTTCGGAATTAATTTGTTCTTCATAAAACTTGAACCGATCGCGTCTTTGCCGGTCATAACCTTATCTGATAAGATCTTGTTATCCTCCCGGCAAATCCCGGTTCTGACCACCACGGCAAACAAGATTTATTTTCCTAGACACTTACACAACTCTCGCATCTATTCTACGCGACGTGGCAGCACGCTCTCGGGATCGCGCCGCCGCTTAGCGCAAAAGCTGATGTTTAGGCGCTTTTTCCACGCTTTTTGCACACTCATAACGGAAGAACACTACTGTGGATTGCATCTACGTCTAAGTACAAGTGGTAAGGTGTCCCGATGAAAACTTTGGAATTCTCTGTCGTTCTCGAGATTTTTTCTCGCAATCATCCGATTTGGTACCCTGAACGGAGAACCGCGAATCAATCATGACATGTATGTATGTGGGTCCTATCATGTGGGTAAATTCAGGATTCTAGGTCGACTTGCTACGTGGAACGTTTGAACTTTCATCAGCACCAGTAATCCATATACCATGGTCCCTAAATTACGGCCGTCTGATAACCATTTCGATAACACTCGTCAAATCGAAGAAACTCCGGTCGACTTGTTATCAACTCTCCCAGATGAAGTCATCTCTATTATCTTTTGTGATGCATGCCAACCAATCCACAGAAATCGCAAATGGCGGCGCGCCTGTTATCCTCTCCTACTTGGCCAAATATCTAGGCAATACCGACAGTACGCATGGGCAACCTCCGAACTGTGGACCACAGTTGTTATACGAATAGATATACAAAAATTAGCAGCTCAAACCGAGTTGTTGGAGGAGTGGTTAGCGCGCACGATGGGGCGTCCCATTGACATTTATTTCGAGATCGGGGATCAATTATCAAGGCGATGGGCACGGCCCATGTCAATGCCGGGCAGAAATCCTTCTTCTGTTGTCCCAATGATAAACTTATTGGCCAAATGTTCCCACCAATGGCGATGTATCGACTTCCATATCCCGTCTTTCTGGTACCCCATCTTCATTTCATCGACCAACTCCAACGATCAGCCCACCGAATCCGTTCTCGATCTTCCTCTGCTGATGTCTGCTTCATTCCATCATGAAGACACCGTGCTACTCCCACATGAAGTACTAGAGCTAGACCTTGCCCTTGCGCCTTCCTTACGCATGCTATCCCTCTCTCTCTGTAAAACTCCATCAGCCATCTTCGCGACATTTAATTGCAAGCGAAAGGTCACAAGTATGATCATCGATCGCGTTCATTCCATCGACCTAAACGACCTCATACCGCGTTTCCCGAACCTCCAGGAGGTAACCTTTCACGACCCCAAGTTCATGCAAACTCCTCCCCACAATGCATTCATTACCCACCAGAAGCTTCGCAAACTTGAAATCAATACACAACATGAATGGCGCCGCCATCTGAAATTCTTATTCATATTTTTCATGTTCCCTCAGCTCGAATCACTGAGCGTCAGTGTACCGCTAACTATGCGCTACAAGGAGCTATTTCAAAGATTCATTGCCCCCGATTCGAAATACCATCTCACAAGCCTATCGCTGTCCTGTAAAATCACCAAAGAGTTCCACCTCATCGATTTTCTTTCTGCCTTGGGCACCCTGCGAGAACTTTACATTCGGGACAATAGTACTGAAGGCACCCCGGAATTCGGCGTGAGCAGCACATTTTTCGACGTTCTCCATCCAGACGAAGATTCTCCTCACCTTCCCTCCCTCGAGGTATTATCATACGAAGGAAACCTTGTCGTCCAAGCTATTGATTTCCTCGAGCCATTGATCATCCGCTCACGGGTGCGAGATGGGAATGAGAATCCGGACAGGTTAGCAGTACTGCGAAAGGTAAGAATCCAGGCGGATCAGGTGTCGGATTCGGCGGAATTTAGTATAGCAGAATATCCTGATACGCAGTACGTTTGGGAGGTTATGATGATGATGGAGCGGGGAATTTTGGAATTGCTTACGATGGGTGGTGGGCGTTGGATATAACTCTTTTGCCATTGCTTTCCTATATTCGGAGGCTGTCATCCGTGTTCGAGATTGTAGACTCATCACAGTAAACGTTATTGAATACCTTAGTGTCGTAATACTTATCCCAGGACTCGGATGGGATGCGGCCCTTCTTGAAAGTAGAACCGTTGAAGTGGACGCCGTTTGCGTCGTTCTGGTGTATTTAGTTTTTGTTTTTGTCCGGGATGGGTGGCGGCGTTCATAACCACTTCAGAGTTCCCATTCCAATCCAAATAAAATTCCAAAGCCCTAGAAGTGTTAAAGGTGAGAATAACTGGTAAGCAAAAAGGGAAATGTGATGAGCACAAGACCGAGAACAGGGGGCATTACTCTAGGTGTCACAGTATTACAAGGAGATAGATAAATGGGCGGTTGAGGGGCAAGGTCATAGAGCTCTTGCCCAAATTCGTGGATGTAAAATACAGAGGTC